CCCCCCCCCCCCCCCCCGGAGCAGCTCGGGGTGGGGGGATGCTGCGGTCAGTCCACAGGAGCCCCACCGTGCCGCTCCTCGCTCCGCACACTGTTCCCCTGCTCCAGGCCGGGCCCTCGCCGTGGCCGCAGTTCCCGTCAGGAGAGCCTGCTCCCGCCTGGGTCCTCTGCGGGCCGCTGCTCCTCCTCCATGGAGTGTCCACCGGCGCCGGCCTCTCCCCACAGCACCTCAGCACCCCTTCCCTCCTCCTCACAGGACCCTGGTTCCCCTCAGACGCCCTCACGTCTCGGCCTCCGTGGTGGTTTTGCCCTCCTTTACGGACATTTTCACGCAGGCGGCGCCACCTTCGTGGAGGGGCTGAGCTGTGCCCTGTGGCGGCACTTGTGGAGCGGCCGGAACCTCTCCTCAGAGCCCTCGGGCCTGCAGCCCCCGCCGGGGCACGGACACCCCATGCAGCAGATGACATTATTTATATTTGGTAAAGGTCTTCTAGCTGTACGAGATTGCTGATTTTTTTTTTTTCCCCCCAAATATTTCATATGCCAAATGTATCCTTCAGGCGAGTGTTTAGGAACAGATTGTTAGCATGAAGCGGTTTTCTGCAGAGGGAATCAGCGAAGAGAATTTTCTTCCGAAAAGAAGAATGTGGGTAGGAAAGCAGAGGATAACATTAAAAATAGGGAAGATTAAAAATGTTCAATTAGTAAAGTCAGAAACAATTTAGGATGAGGAAAAAAAAAAAATCTTGCAAATATATTGATGAACAGAGTTGAAAATATTTTTTCCTGCTGCTTTTCCTCCCCAGAACAGCAGATCAGCCAAATTTTGCTACTTTTGCTCACACTGAGTAGTGTGTTACCACTGAACAGTTGTGTTGACTGAAATGGGACTTGCTGAGGAGGGAATTGTTTAGCTCAAATAGTGTTATAAATAACTATTTGGACCCAACAGTACATATCCAACCCCAAAATGTATATCTAAACCCCACAATATATCTGAAACCCTAAACCCAGGTCATTTTACAGTGCTATTTTTTAAAATAAGTATAATTTAGCTTGTGACCTAAAGCATAGCCCTGTCTTACAAGACCTGATGAGATGGGTTTTGGATTGGATCAGGAAAATGTGAAGTCTTATTTTTGTAGTGTATAAATGAAATGGAGAGTCTAAACCCTGTCTTTAAAAATCTTGGCAAACTTCAAAGGAAAAATACCAATTTAGCAATTTAAAAGCACTTAGCAAGTTTTCCCAGTGCTGAACTTCATTTCTATAGCCAGTGTGGTTGCTTGCTGAATAATGCCATAGGGGACAATGTAGCTCTGACTATATTTAAAAATATTATTCCATGAAATTCACCAGGAAGAAGCTGAGGCAAAATCTCGTTTCTGTCCATGAAAGGAGGTGTTAGTGGCTGCAAATGGTAAAGGAGAAGTACTAAGATAGCTTTCGAAGCAGATGAAGGCTGGCCCATCTGTGGGAGAGAGCACCAGCAGAAGGGGCCAGGTGGAAATCTGGGGACTCTTTAATCTTAGAGGTGCTTGAACATGAGCAGCAAATGGAAAGAAAGAAATCCATACAGGTGGGGGCTAAAAGAGGTGCAGAGACATTATCACAAAAGTGAGGAAAAAAAAAAAAAAAGAGGGAAACAATTAAAAAGATGTTAGGACACAACTGGAATACTCAGATAAGAGAAAACAAAGTCAATTTGATTGAATAATAAAAATCCATGTTATCTTTTTGGTGTATTCCTATGCATGTATTTTAATGGTATGTATTTTATTTTGTGACTATGATTAGATCTTTTACAAATAATTCTGAACTGTTGTAAAGCTTATTATATATTTTAACAAACAGGGGTAGAAGCTTTTAAAACTTCTCAGTGTAGTTCCTGGAGAGTTTATCAGCCGTCATTAAAATGCATTCTTTTTCACATGTTCTTGGTAGGTAACCTTGGACGGGTGGACCACATCACAGAGTTTGAGTATGACCTGTTCATTAGACCAGATACCTGTAACCCACGCTTTCGAGTTTGGTTCAACTTCACTGTTGAAAATGTAAAAGAATCACAGGTAAGTGATACTAAATTAGGTAGTATGATAGCTTTAAAAATTGTTTGCTCCAAAATATATTGTCTTAAACAAAAAAGATGATATCCAGGGTTTGTAACTAAAACTTTGCTATAAAATATATTTTTGTCCTTGGAATTTTTATAAGTAAAAGTAAGTATCAGCATGACTGCATATCACTGTGCTTTTCAGCTGTTTCAGACAGGAAATAATTACAAAGACAGTATAACATTTGCCACCTAACAGGAGTTGTATTAATAATGGCTGCTATATATTTGTTCATATATACAAATAAAATATGTGTTAATATATGAAAAAGTCCATCATAGCTCTTCAAATATTATCATTCAAGCCTTCCTTTAATACATGTAGAACAATGAGGTACCATTATAAGCAGGCATTGCTCTAGTGACTTGTACTAGAGTAGGATTTGCCTGCCAATGTGTCACTTGTGAAAGAGGAGGTTTAAATGTGAAACAAGTCGATAGGCAACTGTTTCACCTATTTTAAAATAGTGTTTCACCTACTTTTAAATAATGTTTCTTTGCAGTAAAAATACCCCATGAGAAAGAAACTTTCAACTAGTCTTAAACTAAGAAAAAAAAAAAAGTCCTGTTTCTTACTGATAAAACAAAAAAGATTTAATTAAACTTTTTACACGTACCTTGCATTTTATTATGCCTTTCTGTCTTAGATTACCACAATCAGACTGTCATTTTCACTTAATGGAAAAAAACCCCATATTTAGTGAGAGAAAAAAACTGAGGGAGCTTGATATTTGTATTCTTACAAGACTAATATCTTAATACCCACCACTGTACCATTGCTGTTACAACTAGAAATCATGAAATTGTTTATCTATCTTCCTGGAGCCTGATACATTATCAGACAGACCCTGTCCCCTGCTGTGCCTTACTCAACTATGATCAAATTATATAGTCATGAGATGAATGGGAATCTGTCTCAAGGAGGCAAAGAGATCTGGTAGAAAGATACAATATATATCTAGTGCTTACAGGATATTTGTTTTCATGGTTGTCTACATGAAAGAGAATGGTTTCGCTACTAAGTTCGACTTGTGAGGTCTGTTTTTATAATGTGCGTTCCTGTAATCTTTTTTTCATCTCTCCAATTTCCGTTAAAATGAGACCTGCACGAACGTAATCTAGTCTGGAACCTTTTTTAGGTCTTTGTACTAGCGGACATGGGCAGTATTAGTCATTGCAGTTCAGCTATATTAAATGAATGTTAGGAACTGCTACATCAAACATACTGTGTAATCTTGTTTGTGCATTTTGATTATTTTCTTTTATGTTTTACTAGGAAATAATAACAAGGAAACCCATACCATTCAGTATTGCTTAAAAATGTTGCACTAAGACGCAGGTAACTTTGATCACTTTATGTGTAAAAGTAGATATTTTAATAACTACTACATGTTTTATTAATAAATATTTACCTGTATAATATATATTTTTTTGATGTATCATATAGGGGACGTGGGAGGAAGGCAGATCTATGTATTCATATATCCTAGGTCTGGCTTCAGCCACTTAGATGAGAACTCAAAAGGAGTAGCTACCTTTATTAGTTTTACATATCGTCTATATTGCATTTCCTTCTCATTGTTGCTCTTCCTTCAACTTAAGATTCTTAAACAACCTTATTTACTTAGACTTGATTATATGTTGAAGATTTTCTTCTCATTATATCTCCAGTTTTGCTTGACATTTCACACTGAAGCCTTTACTCACAAAGAAATCTATTCAATGGTATCATGAGAAAACAAGAAATGTCCTTTCATTACTTGAATTATAAATCATCCATTCTGTTATCTTGCTGTTGCTTCATACCAATCACAGACCCAACAGTGGTTAAAGGGATAAAAAAGTGAATGAAAAAGACACAGTGTAAAAACAACAGCCATACAAATACTAGGAAAACATAATTGTATTGTATGTATTTCTGATTTAGTTTTCAGTCCTACTACTGGATAGTAGTGCAGTTTTTACAGTATGTTTAGTGCAGTATTTTGTGTTATTAATCTAGTGTTAAATGAAAAGAAAGATCTATTAGACATTCCTGCCAGTCTCACTGTCCATGCATTATCGTTCTGTAGAGAACAGTTTTTTACATTCCAGTTTTAATTTTCTTAAGCCATGGAGCTTCCACTTTCCTGTGCTGCCAAACTGTTCTATAGACTCATCTCACAGTGTTGCTTGATTTTTAGCCTAAAGGTTTCCTTTATTTAATCCCACTATTCCCAGTTGCAATTCTGCTTAGTAATAGCTCCTCTTGGTACAAATAAATCCTCATCATCCTTGGCCAACATTTATATTTCTGTAAATTACAACATTCCTCATCATTTGTGTCTCAGCCTAGCTATCATGTTTGGTTCTTTCAGCCCTATATCCAATAGAGCACTTCACCTTTAAGTGTTTAAGTTTTTTTCTGCTTTGGGGCCTTTGGACTTTCAACATAAGTGAATCTTTCCAGCCCTTTGATAATTAGCCTAGCTTGCCAGGGAAACAAAGCTTATATGATCACACTGTCTACTTGCTAGCCTAGGTTTTTGTGTGGCTGCTGATCTTTCTCCTGTCATTTTTCCCTCATTAGATTCTTGACTCTTGGCCAGTTTCAACACCACTGGACAGGAACTTCTATAAGTTTCAGGAAAGCAGGCTGCCAGATGGGCTAGAGACCCATCTGTGTTCCCAGTGGCAGAAAGGTTATAGTATGAGATAATTTCTTATTAAACATCAGAGAATCCACAGAGGAGATGCACAGGAGAAAGCGCTCATTTGAATTTGCATTTTTAAGATACCAGAGAATCCAACCATGAAATCCAAATCCGTAGTACTTTGGTTTGTGTCTTGCAGAACTTCTTGTTTTTATTATTATTATTACTCTTCCAGTTCTTTCACTATTTTTATGGTGTGGAACTAAAATTTAATGGAGGATTCTGTGTACAGTAACATCCCAACTTACAGAGAAGGGACTCTAGTCCCTTTGCTCTGTTACTCAGTATAGACAGGTGAAAATTGCAGCAGCCTTTTGTTGCTGTATCACTATGGAAACTCATGCCTAATTTGTTTGCTATCATACATAAGTCTTTTTCAGAATGTTTCCTTCCTCCTGTTACGTATGTCTTGGGTTACTGTTGTGCTTCAGTAACAAGGGCAGGTAATAGAGCTAAATTCTGTAGCATAGCAGGGAGAGTCCTGATCTTCTCAGAATTTTTTTTTTTTTTTTTTTTTTTTTGGTGTTCACTTCTCTATGTTACAGTAGAACCAGTAGACTTTGTAAATTAACTTATTCCTCCTTATGATTTGGGCTTCTACATGTGACATTTTATGTTGTCAGTTTTATTTTATATGTTTTTAGCAAGGAAAAAAAAATCAAAAGAAATAGCTCATGTCTTATATTTATGGGAAAAAAGAAACATCATGTAAGATACCTGTGAGATGTAAAATTTGGTCAATGGGTCTCTTTATATGGTTTCTGACTTGCAAGACATTTGGTCTGATAAGATCTGAACTGTGGACTTTTTTGTCATTTGTTCAGTGAATTCAATTAACATCAATATTGGAGAAAACAAAAAGAAACTGATATGTTATACATAAGGACTATAATCATGCAATGATTACACTTACAATAACCATGAAAGGGAGAATGAAGGAAATAGGATTTGCTGTGGAACACATGGTCTCATGGGCAAAGCCTCCAATTTCTCTAATTATATACGTGTCACAGGCTGCTGTCTATTTCTGGATAATGCTCTTTCTTGGGCAGGATTTGTTTCCTGTTAGCTTCAACCATGGCCCTTACAACACCATCTACAATTTTGCTAAATTCCTTCTCTGTGGAACCGGAAATTGAATGAACAAATGTCATCTCCAAATTGCATTTCAAGTATTTTAAATAGACAGTGCTTCAAGTGCATGATTACTTCTGAGCTAGAATTTTAAAGGTGTTAATAGCAACAGTGATTCATTTGAGATTTGGGGGAAAAAAAGAAGCATGTGTATATGTGATAAATTATAAAAATATGCTAGTATACCAATACTGGAGGATTTTACAGGTAAAAAGAAGGATTATTTCTCTTGGGGGCCATAGTCAGATATTCTACTCAAGTAGTTGACACCATTTCAGACACTTGCAGCCACACTAGAAGAAGATGATCTCTGTCCTGGAAAATTTACTTCCGAGGAATTTGAGAAGAGATGAGTTGAATACAACAGAGTGATAAGGATTAAGAATGTCTGTGAGGATTTTAATTACTCTAACAAACAGCAACCATATTATACCAATAAGTAATGGACATCTAGGCTGCATGATATATTCTGTATGTGTATGTACCCTGAACAACTCTGCTGTCTGATGAATCATGTTCAGAAATGGTATTTTCACTGAGATTAAAAAAAGAATTTCCAACAGAAGGGGTTTCCTAATAGTGCCAAATTTTGTTCTGTAAGTGTTGATAAATACATTTGGATTTCTTCATCACAAAGGTACTGACAAAATATACCAAGAAGGATAGAGGAGAAGAATGGGTGTTTGGCAGCTAGGATTTGATCATTACTTACAGTTAATAAATCAATCCAGATTGAGGTTAAAATCAAAGAACCAAATGTTATTTACTTCAAAGTCATTTTCTCTGTTACTTCAGTTGCAGTTGAACTGAGGCTAGAATTTTGACTCAAGGTTTTTGAGGTTTTTTGTTATATAAGTGTATGTATCAGGATAAAGGATAGCCTATTCTTCAGAAATTTAAACAGGTAAGACAGGTAATATCATAGCTGGACTTTAGTATAAATGCATGGAGCTCTCATTATAGAGTTTTCTCTTTTTTGTCCTACACGGTTTTGTAAAATAAAAAGGCTCTGAAATCTCTGTTGTCTTTAATTGATTAGATTTTCAGGAACTATTTATTATTGGGATTGGATATTATAGCTTGTTCAGGCCTCTTATCACTGTCCTGAAACAATCTGATGATTCTTAGC